AACTTTTTGAAAATGTGAACTGTACTTATGAAGATGTCAGCACCTTATTCTCTAAATAAAGATGCAAACAATGGCATTTTTCAACAAAGTCCTGTGTATTTTCCATACTAAAACCATGTGACAAAAACTGAATGCTGACTCACATTTATTTATTTGAGTGTGGAGACTAGACCCTTAAACCAAATACTGAGGTGGAGGGCTGCACACAAACTAATTTATGCCCAAAACCATGGGTATGGCTCAGTGCAAAACCCATGTTGTCCTGAAAGTCTCTGTAACAGTTGTACATTGGTAACAATTGATGCAGGTGTTTGCAGTGGGGAGTTCAGAGGTGATTCCTGCGTCATGCTCTCACTGAAGAAATTCCATTGAATGTTGTGGAGATATTTTTTTATATCTGGAGATATTTTTTTATTATTCCCCCTCTTCCAAACTTTATACTTAGCTCAACGCAGTCAGGCAAGTACCATTCTCCTTTCAACCACCAAAACCAGACTCGTCCATCAGATTGACTCCAGACTGAGAAGTGTGATTGGTCACTCCAGAGAACACGTCTCCACTGCTCTAGAGACCAGTGGCGGTGTACTTTCCACCAGTGCTTTTAATTGTACTTGGTGATGTAAAGCTTGGATGCAGCTGCTCTGCCATGGACACCCATTCCATGACGTTCTCTACACACCGTTCTTGAGCTAATCTGAAGTCCACATGAAGTTTGCAGGTCTGTAGCTATTGACTCTGCAGACAGTTGGTGACCTCGGCACACTGTACACCTCAGCATGCATTGTCCCTGCTATGTGATTTTACGTGTCCTACTACTTCATGGCTGACTTGGTGTTGTTCCCAATTGCTTCCACTTTATTACAATACCACTAAGAGTGGACCATGGAATAATCAGTATCAAGGTTTTCACGAATGGACTTATTGCACCTCTCCTGGAGCCGACACCTTATCGTGGCGGAGAGGTTTGCGTGTTCCAATGATCCCAGGAGCTAAGTTGCCTGTGGCTTTAAGCCCCTGGTAGGGTCACCCAAGGCAAACAGGTCCTGGGTGAGGAACCAGACGAAGTGCGGCTCACAAGACCCCTTATGATGAGTTATAACATGGATCCACGATTTCCCTTGCCTGGACGCGGGTCACCGGGGC